ACGAGAGAGATACGAGAGACAGATACAGAGACAGAGAGAGATACAGAGACAGAGAGAGATACAGAGACAGAGAGAGATACTGAGACAGAGAGAGAGAGAGAGAGAAGAGAGCATTGAGAGATTCGAGAGAGCATCGAGAGAGGAGTGTCAGGCGAGGGTCCGGCTTGGTGATACCTTTGCTACCCGCGACACCGAACACTACCAGCACCGCCAACACTAGCATATGGAAATGGCTCCTCCATTGCATGGCGTTATGATCGTTGACCCCAGCCCTTGGCGTCAGTTTCCTGAGCTGCTGTATTGTGAATCAGTAAACTTTATTCATCTCCCTCTCCTCCGCATCTCTCTTGTTTTGCCTCAAACGAAAAGGGCTTGCCGATGAGCTACATGGTGGGGATGGGAATTGTTGTGCGCAGAGGCAGGCGTGATCAAGCAGAAAGGGACGGGTTCAAGTTTGGCTTTTGGTTGGACAACACACAACAAAAGACGCTTCTAGCGAGCTTGCAGTAGACAAGAGTACGGCACTGCATGGAGAGGCGGGGCGATGCGATGCGAAAACAAAATCCCCATCCGCCCAGCTCATTACCGATACTGGGAACGGTGGGGCGCGTAATAACCGTTGCTGCTGCCTGGTGGATTGGCGCTTTTGGCACTCCCACTCGTTGCTTCGGGTGCACCCGGACCCGCGCCAGGTGGGCCGTAGTGAGGGGGGTAGCCATGCCGGTAGGCAGACGGAGCACCGCCTGGGGATGCCGGGAGCTCCCGTCCAGGCGGCATGCTTCCATAGCTGCCGCTCCCAGTCGACAAGCGCGAGTATGCACCCGACCCCTACAGATGTTTTGCAATTCACACACACCAAGAATGAAGAAGGGGTAAAATAAGTGAGGGACACATTAAGGGTCAGAGCCACCGAAAGCACATGCTCCGCAGAGTGCAAACAAAACAACCGCAGGCCCCAGTTCTTACCACGGGGCCGCTGACGGGTGCTCGAGGGGCCTGCTCACCCCGTTCCCAACTCCCACGGCGGTCCCCCGAAGGCCCGGGGGACCCATACCGCAAGGCATCATCGCGGAGCGGCTCGGCCGGTCCTCCCGTCTCGCGCATTGTGCGAGCGGTCATTTGTGATGGATAACGTGAGCTGGGCCCGCTGGGTGGACCAAAGCGCCCAGCTGGCGAGGGAGAGTAGTTGCGATCTGGAGGCGGACCCCCATGAAAGCGTTCCCGGTCACTGGGGAAGCGCTCGCCCGGCGGCGGCGGGCCCCCAAACCCACGATCCAGGGCCCCCCCGCCCGGGTATCGGCGATCGGGCGGAAAGGAGTCGTGGTGGCGATCCCCGAATGCAGGGCCCCGATCGCCATGGAACGGTGGGCCTGCTTGTCGCTCGCCTCGGTATGGAGGGCCGCCGGGATGAGGACGGTCTGGGAAGGCGCGATCCGCATGGCTTCCACCGCCCATGGGACCTGCAGGTCCTGGCCGGTCCCCCAGCGCGGGTGGACCGCGCGGTGGGCGCTCACCTGCTGGCGGTGCCATGTGAGGATGGCCTGAGGGTGCGTTTGGTCCGCGTTCAAAGACCCCCCTGTCAAACCCGCGATCAAAGCCACGATCAAGACTGCGGTCGGGGCCACGGTCGGGACCACGGTCGGGACCGCGCTCGTATCCACGATCAAAGCGAGGTGACCGTGGGTGATCACGTTCCGTGTACGTGCGAATTGGGTCGCCTCCTTGCTCGAGCAAGCCGCGCGGCGCGGGCCCTCCCATGGCTTCGCTGCGCCCTGGAGGCGGCAGTGGGCTGGATCCTGGTCCTGCATCATTGGCACGAAACGGCGATGGCTGCAGGCGCGACAACGTTGGCGTCGATGGACCGCTCGTCCGCTCTTCCACCGAATCCCAACGAGAGCCCTGGCGGCGAGGCTTGGCGCTCACGGGGCCAGATGGCATGGTGGTTGCAGTGGCCAAGGCACTGCTGCTATTGCTGCTCAAACGCGGAGGGTTGGGGGCAATCACACTGGGCGATCCCGGGCTACGATGCTCGTTCAAGGGTCCACCCACCGGCACGGGCCGTGATGGTGGGTATCCTGCCGCGGGGGAGGATGCCATTCGGCTACGCTCATAGCGACCTCCCGCTTCCAGCAATGGGCCGGGCCGACCAGGGCCCGCTCCCAGCGGCGCACGCCCCATGCTCGGCGCACTGTAAGGTGCACCCGATGCCACAGGACCACTTCTTGCCTTGATGAGGGGGCTTGAGGGGCCCTGGTTGAGGACAGGTCCGCTGGTACTGACGGGTCCCGAAGTCGGCATGATACCGGGGCTGTTGGTGGGCGTGGCGTTTCCCCCGGCGCGCAGCGGTGGGGGAGGGGGTGGCACCGACCCTGCCCCGGGGCTTGGGCCTGGGCCCAGACCTGGCCCGATGCGGCCTACGTATGAGCCATATAGTGAGACGCGAGTGAGGAAAAGGGCGGTGCCAAGGGTAGACGGTGGGAAGTGAGCGCAACCATCTGACCAGTGGGTGTGGTGGGCCCGCTTGAGAAGGTCTTGGCCCGCTGGGGCAGCGGCGAACCATATCCACTACAGGCGCAGAGCAATCCATCATGAGACTAAACGCGGGCTTGCTCCAATGAACATGGGAAGCGACCATACCGAGGCGTCACATCACTGGGGATCGGTCGCTTCAGCTCAAGGCGGGGTGCTGCGGGCTGAGAGCGAGGGCGATGAGAAGAAACGGCGGAAAGCCAGGCGTCGCGCAAAATTTGTACATTGCTGCGTAAGCTTTCGCAAGCTTTGGTACCTTTTGGGGCGAAATGTGACGGCGGCTACCGATGTCGGATAGAATGGATGTCTTTCGCTGCATCATCAGCCGAGCGCGGTTGTCGTGAGGCACCGCCGTGGATCTTAGGGGGAGCGGGCCAATTTGCGCTAGGCATGAACAGGCCACAAACCTGAGGCGCGGCATCGTCCTGGTCCATCTAAAGAAAGGATATAAAGTGACAAGAAGCGACTGAGCGGCGGTCTCCACGGCGGGCGGACGGCTTGGGTGTTTCGTCACAAAAACTTGGATGGGACACATGTGAGCAACAGACATACCGAGGGTTCTTGAAGTAGGCGTTGGGCAGCTTCACGAGCTTCGCGCTCTCGGCGCTCGGCTTCCTCTTGCTTCAGCAACTACGATAGCATGCACCAAAAATTGCGGGCAGTGAGAGACACCCTCGATGCAGGAAGCTCGGGCAGACATTTCGACAAAGCGGGCGGCTCGGTACCTTGCGAAAGGTCACGAAAGCTTCGTGTTTTTCTTGCTTGAGCTTTTCAAGCTTTGCTTCAAGGGTTGAGCGTTGCTTGTTGAGCACGTCCAAGCGCTAGAGCGAATGAAGCGGGAACCGGGTCAAAGCAGATGAGGTGAGCCCAGGCCAAGCAGGGACGCTCAAGTCACGAGAATTCGAGGCTGGGAGCGGCTATGAAACCAACCTGTTCCAGCGTGACCTTTTTCTTCTTGCCCTGAGCATCGCCCTGCTCATGACCCGCGCGCAGGGCCTTGATCTAAATGACCGAAAAGTTCAAGGGGGAATGAGCGGCGCGTCATGGGCGGCAGACAATCAAAGGGCAGCCGCGACATGATTGAGGGTCAAGTGGGGAAAAGGCCAAGAGAATACCTCATCGAGGCGTTTTTGCACGATAAACTTTGTGACGGCAATGGTTTCACGCTTGCTCATGGGCAGCGGCGGGTAGACAAGGGGCTTGCGCACCGCGGGCACTTGGCTCGTGTAGATGCCCTCAACCATCCTCAACGGTCACGATCCCAACCCCGGCTCCCCATGAAACCAGCTCGGCCTCGGGACCCAGACCCCATCAAAGGTCAGAGACCGCCACAGATGACACAATATGCACCTCCCCCTTCGATCCCTCTTCTCCAGAGGTCCAATCGGGAGCTTCAGCAGCACTGGAGCATCACACCACGGCGCTGCCGTCCTGTGTCGTGAGATGGAAAAATAAAATAAAAAAAAACGAGAGATGGTGACGGTCTTGTATTGTTCTAAACAGTTGTTGTGTGTTTATGTAGCAGGCGCACATTTTCTTTTGTGTTTTGCTCGGACTCGCTCCATCTTTTTTTTTTCTGTTCTGGGGTGTCAAGGTTTGCTCAGAAGAATGGTGATGGGAAGGAAGGGCTCAAATGTTTCGTGACAAGAAGCGCATGGAGCTGCGGCCAGTCGGGTTGTTTCGCACACAAAGGTGGGAACGACAGGAAAAGGCAGCAGCTGCTGCACACGCCAAATTCAACGGCGTCAAACAACTGACACTACACGACTGAGAAACAGAGGAGAAGAAGTGAGGAGGAGAAAAGCAGAAAAGGGAGAAAAGGTTTGCTATCCTGGAGGGGGTGACTCTGTTCAAGAACAGAATCTTAGATGGCCTCGTAGTTGCCACCACCCATGACTGGGCGGCACATGCAGAAGCGGAAGCCATCGCCGACAAGTCCCGGGAAGGAATCAACCCAGAAGTGGTAGTTGGGCAGAATCTCCATGCCACGAGCACCCTTCACGCTGTAGTTGTAGATGCTGCCAATGGCCAAGTAGGGAATCAGGAAGGCGCAGAAGAACCTAGGGCACGAAAGAGATCCCCCCCCCTTGGTATGAGCAAAGCATAAAACAGCAGTTACGGGTTGTGGGTGAAACAAGCCACGGTGAAGGATGACGCACAGCAGCAGCATAATGTCGCCGCCCGAAAGGCCCTTCTTGCCGCCCTTGGAGCCGGCAGGGGCGCAGATGGACATGCAAGTGTTCAGGTCGGGGAAAACGCTGCTGGTGTTGGACACGCTGCACTTGCCTACATGTTGCACTCGTGTATGAGGTGGGACCGAAGCCAGCATTTTCAAATAAAAACAAAAACAAAAACAACCGGACTCAAGCCATAACAAAGCTTCTACTTCGTCACGATGTAACTTACCGGCCGCACTGCAGGTGTAGCCCGGGGTGGACACAGGCTTGCACACGTCTTGGCACAAATCCAGAGTGGGGAAACCAACGGCCGAGCCCTTGATCTCAACGCACTCGCTCTGGGCCGAGCAGGAAAACTTGCCTTCCGGACGCCACAAAGCAAAGCCCGTGGCAAACGACGAGTTCTTGTCGCAGGAGTCGCAGTTACCTGCGCACAGCTGGATCTGCCAGTGAGCAAAGACTGAGGCGTTGGCCGAAAGCGTTTGAGCCATGACGTCGGCCTGGCAGACGGCCCGCGGGCCAAAGGAGTACATGCTCTGGTCCAACTCATAACCCTCAAAGGCAGCGGCCACCGTGATGCCACCCAGGTCGCCCGAGGCAGCGTCAGACGCGACACCCTGAGTCAAAGATTTGACAAACCAGAGTTGAGGTGAGATTATCGCAGAAAGCGTACGCCCAAAAATTGGCCAGCAGGTGGTCGTGGAGCCAAGCACGTACCACACTGGCGACAAAGCCGTAGAAAGAGATGCCGGCCGTCATGGCCTCGTCGTTGTCGTTGCCAGCATCGTCCTGGTAAATCCACTTTTCGTGCTCCTTCTGGCAAACAGGGTCTGAGAAGCTGACGTTGCACAGCGTGAGGTTCTCGGTCGGGGACAACGTCTCAATCAAAATTGGGATCGTGTTATCCTCCGTCACGGTCAGCGACACTTCATCCAAAACCTGCATGTATTGAGCATCTCAATCAGGTACTCGCGTTCACATATCAAGACAAAATACACAGGGAAAGGAAAAGAAAGAAAAAACCAAAAACAAGAACAAAAATGGGTCTGAGTGGGAAAGCACGGTGGGGTAAAACGGCAGGGGTAAAACGCACCGTGGTGTTGGAGCTGGGAGTGTAAATGGACTTGTTGTAGAGTTCAAACTTCTCATGGACGACACGGACTGGGTCGCGGGACAAAGACTGGTGTCAGCAATGAACAGGTTTGGTTGCACATCGTGTTTGTGGGTCATGTGTTTTGACATGCGACAAAGCAGGGACGCACAGATTTCGAGGGAGGTGCCACGAATGTTAAGGAGGCCGACTTCATAGGTTCCTTCGGCTGACATGGCAACGGCAGTCTAGAATGACAAAAAGCAGCAAGAAACTCGCTTCATGAGGATACGTTGACAGACCACCACGCACGAATATGCACTGATTTTCATCAATGGTTGGGTGCACACCCTGCCTGGGTAAAACATACGTTGAAGCTAGACTGGGGATTGAGGGCGTGCTCAATGTGGTGGTAAAAGCCCTCCATGGGGTTCCAGCGCTTGAGCTCGAGGATTTTGGAGGTGCCATCTGTCTTGAGCAGGCTGATGACGGCTGCAGTGCCATCTGAGCGGCTATCAACGGAAATTTGCTTCTTTTCGTCGGTGATGTAAAAGTCACCCTCGCAGCAAATGAGCTCGGACTGGCCCCAAGGGGGACTGATATTGGTGTTAAAGGTGCGGAACACGGCGTTGTAGGCAATTGTCGAGTTGCTCGTCAAGTTGTCGACTATGCCGGTATCGAGTTTAGAAGGGGTGAGTTTGGCGCGGCAGTGTGATTTGTCAGTGTCTGGAAGGTTGCGCGGATGCGTCGAGAGCAGGGGCAAGGGGACCTACACTTGGGCAGCAGATAGGACATAAAGCCCATGTTGCCATAGTCGTCCACATCCATGTACAGATCCTTCAGGTGGCAGTCGTTCTGGGTTCGGCCCTTGAAGCTGCCCAAAGAGTACACGGTGTCCTCGAATTGACCTAAAAAAAGAGAAAAGAATAGGGAAGAAGAGCAGGGCCTGGGGTCAGAGCTCGCGAAACCGCAAGGTGATAGGACAAGGTGATAGGACTAATAAAAGCCACCGTGGTTTGAACAGGACCATGGCTTGAGCCTCGGTCTTTATAGCGCGGTACATGAGAGGTCATGAAGCGAGGGCGAGGAATCGAACCGAATGAGTAAAGGGAGGAGAAGATGGAGCAGGTGACATGACCCATCACGCTGGCCGAGGTCGTGTAAACGATAAAGCCGGACGAGCCGATGCGGTTGATGGTGGTGTAGATGGAAACAATGGGGTTCAGGGAGCGGTTGTTGATGGTCTGGAATGCAACGCTGATGTCCGATTGGCTCAACGTGGAATGGTTCAGATGAGCGGCTTCCACCAGGTGCTTGGTCGCATCCACGCGCACCACTAAAATCAAGCCAAACGCCGGGGTGAGTTGGCGTACTGCCAGGGCAATCACGGGAGCAACATGTCACACAAGGCAAGAGTATAGATGGATGGAAAGCCAATAAGATGACGGGGGGGGGGGGGTGCCGTGGAACTGACAGATGCCAACATCGGCGCGCTCGCTGAAAGCGACAGAGGCGCTCTCCAGGCTGTTGAGTGATGGCAAGGGGCATTGGACATGTGAGCAGTTGGTCATTGGCGAAGAGTGTAGACGGGGGCACAAGACCAAGTGGGAGGCGAGGTCGCATCGCGTAGTCTCAGGTCAAGACCCAAAGTCGAGCAACGGAAGAGGGCCAAGAGCCAAGGCGTTTGGACGAATGCCATTGGTTGATCGGGGGCGAAGCAATCCAGCAGGGAGAGACTTACAAGGCAGCGTCATCATTGTAATGGTAGACGTTCCAAGCGGCATGCGCGGGGGAGATCACGGCTGCCATCAAGAGTCCGAGACCGAGGGCAAGGACCGTCATGCTGCTGGTGGCCATCGTGTCAGAAGCACGTCGTCCACTGGTACAGGCGGGCGCGCTCTACAACCCAACACATCACGGTCAAAAAAGGTGAGACACACGGTGACCAAGGCCATGCCAAGCTCCCAACTCTCTTCAGCCTTTGATTCAAACTCAGTGCACACGGCGGGTGTAGCGCCAGAGCCAAGAAGCGCCGAGATCGCGCTGCCGTTTGTGCTTGTGGAGGAGAGAGAGAGGAGCGCATCAAGGCAACGGGCACTTACACGTGGTAGCAAATGCATTGCGCACGTCCGTTCTTTCTCTCTGTGTGTGTCTTCTCTCTATTACTACGGCACATGTGTAGAAGAATCTGACAAACGTATCAAAAGAAGTAAATTACTTATAAGAAGAGGAATAACATGCGCATGCTGGGCGGTCGATCCTCCCCATAGGAAGGCATCATCGGTGGCGCTTAGGCATGGTGGTTCGGCATGGTTGTGGAGGCACGGGCGGCGCGAGATCGTCGCTGGAAGCGTCGAGATTGGAAGGCGGGGTCGCCTGTGGGCGGGTCGTCGCGTAAGGTGGCTCGCCGTTGGTTGCGTGTGGCGGTCGGTGCGGGTTGGGGCGTGGCCGCAGCGGTTTGACCAGGAAGCAGGAGTGTGGCAGTCCCATGAGCTGCGTCGTTGTCGGAACCCGTGCTTCCGGCTTCGTTGTCATCGTACTGGGGTGGCGGTGAACTAGCAAACAGTCGTCCCACGCTGGGTGGTCGCTCCGCCCCACGCTGACGGGCTGTGCTCAATCGTTCCCGCCGCTGCACCCGCTTGGAGCTCAAAACGGCTGGGTTGGCTTGCCAGGGTGCCTGGAGGCCCGCATCAGCACCTTGCGGGGGACCATGCCCAGCATCGGCTTCCAAGTCGGACACGGAAGACTCGCTGCGGCTTCGGATGAGTCCTGGTCGGGGCTCTGCCATCAAGCCCCGGGATTGAAGTCGGGATTGACGACGCGATCGCCGCGAGGCGGACATGGGCGTGTACGCCACGCTGGCCCGCTCGGCGCGCGCGTTGACACTCAAGGATGCCCCTCGCGTTGGCGCCGTGCGAGCTGTGGGGGATGGCGAAATGGACGACCCCGACGAAGTCGACGAGGCAGAGAAGACATCGCGTTCGCCGCTGGGGATCTGACCACGTGATCGACGCGGGGCCTGCAGTAGACCCCTTCGATTGTTGCCCTCACTGTGGGGCTCGGCATCGGGGTCCTGGCTCGGAGCCCGCTGTTCCTCACCCTCCGTGTCGGTCTCACTGTCGTCATCACTGGCAAAGCGCACCGTTGTCCGACCGCGCCCGGTGCCTGGCCTGCCCTCAGCACGGCTGATGGAGGTGGAGGCGGAGGATGCTGGCTGCAGTTGCAGCTGCAGGGCATCCATGAGCGCCTCCGATGTGGCATTGAAAAGGCTGGGATCGAGCGCCGATTCAGCCAACGCCCGGTGGGTCTGGTCCATGGAGACAGTGGCCTCGCGTAACATGTCCGCTGCCATGGTCCGCTTGAGGTCCAAGAGCTGTTCAACATTGATCCCCTCTTGGTCTCCTGCACGAGATGTCCCAGGTCTTGATCGGCCCAACTCGGATCGTCGCGCTCCCCGAGCCGTGTCCAGTCTGCGAGAAAAAAAAAATTAAAAAGAAGCATCCCGGCAGATGAGTGTTGTCTACTCAACAGTCTTCCTTCACACTTGCGTCTAGACAAACCGTGCAGCCGTGTCCGCCTCCAAGCTGTTTAAGGAGATGGCGTCCATGGCCAGGACGGCGTTACTGCGTGCTTGCTCCCGCAACGCTGCCAGACACAAATTGGTGAGTGGGGCGTGTCCATGCGCACGACGTGCTCAACACGGCCTCCTTGAACTTGCACCTACCCTCGTTGTACTCCAACATGACACACGTCCCATTGTCAAGGCAGCAAGCCAGCAAGTGGTCTTGAGTGTGCACAGCTGCATCCATGCACAGGCTCCTACAAGTTCACACATGGCACAGATGAATGAGCCTCTACTACGCATCGTCTTGGCGCCGCAGGCACCGCGAAACCCAGGGACGCACCGAGCAATGACGGTCGGCCATCCATGCTTTTTGAGCGCCAACGTCGGGGCATCACGTGCTTCCAGCTGCCCTCCTGGCGTGACTGGAGAAGGCGAGCGACAGCAACGTAGCAATGTGTGGAAGGTCAGTCTCTTTCGCAGCGAGTCTGACCTCGGAAACTGATGCAAGTGCCTCTCAGCCAGCCAACTTACCACACACAAGCTGTTGACCATCTGGTGACAGGCTAATCCGGCACGGGTAACGCTGAAACCCGTCGTAGTGGACACTCTATTCACAAGCCTGTGAGGTGAGCAAGCGTCGCGGCAGCATATCTGGAGCAAAGTATTTGATGCTTGGCGTGGGCCGCACCTTTTCAATGTGTGCGGTTGTCGCGTCACAGACGTGAATACTGCTTTGTGTCGCGACCCAGAGAAACTGCGCAGTGCAACACAGACTCCAGATGGCGCGACTGGCCGAAGCTGGCTCGGTGAGCCCAATGTGATGAAGAGGCTGCGGTGCATGTGCCGCACTCAAATTGGCTGAGTCCAGCAGCGAGGCGGCCAAAGATGAGAAGTTTGATGCTGGCTCATCATGCGCGTTTTGGAAGCGTCAAGGTAACATACCGGGCAGGGTCCACACAGTCACGACGCAGTCGTTGCTCCCGACGAACATCTGCCCACATGAAGGAAGCATCAAGCGTCATGAGGATTGGGTCAAGCCAGTGTGAGGGCAGCACGTCCAAGAGGTTCAGGACCTTGTGTCGTGCACTGGCAAGGCGAATGCAAGTGATGGGCGCATCGCGATTGCTCAGGGTGTGAACAACATCCGTGCTCAAAGCTCGCGGATCTGCGTCGTCTGACAAAGCAGCGCGGCTACCTCGCCGGCGACGATTGGGCGCTTGAGGCTTGGCTGACCAGATTCTATACGCCAAGGGAGGCAAAGAGCAGACACATTGTCAGAGGACTTGAGTGGCGTGCAAAGCAGGCGCCGGGTGGTCTTGTCGAACAGACCGGAGGAGGGCATCAAAGCCACCAGAGACGACCCAGGAGTGACCCGGCTGAGCCGGATTGGAGTCTGCTAGCATGCCACCAGCGTACACGTAGTAGTCGTGCAACAACACCTGTTGACCGCAACAAGCGACAAGTCAAGTAGCATGAGCAAGCGATCACCTCAAAGTTGGTGCACGGGGGGGCGCCACTGACCGCCACGACATGAGCTTGTTCTGGGACCTCAGCGTCAACAACAACCAAGCGCCCATCAACCCCGCAGCTGATCAAGTAGCGACTGTCTTCAGACCTGATATGGCGGGAGTGGAATGGCAAAACGTGTAAACTGAAATCGACAAAGGACGTAGCAACAAGCCTTACATTGCTTGGCGAGAGCAGCGTGGGCGGTGAACAGACCAGTTGAGCGAATGAACCCGCTGGGTGTGACGCTGAATGACGGCGAGGGGCGCACGTTGCCGCGTTTGCTTGGGTCGTGGTCCTGTCCGGCGCCCTCGGGAGGGCCGCGCATTCAGATTTTGGCTCTTGAGAGCCGGTTGTACATCGAAAAGGGCTAGAGCATGGGCAGGCAGACCCGGGGCATGGGTCCCACCCACGGCGACGGCGCACCATCGGCCAGTGGGGCAGAAGGCCAAGGCGGTGGCTGGGACGCCACCCAGTTGAAAGAAGCATTGGGCATCGTTGGGCATGTGAAAGGTATCGCGGGGCCGGCGTGTCCAGGCATGAGGATCCGCTTCGGCCTCGTGTGCATCTGGCTGCTCTTCACCCAGGCCTTGTGAGCGGGGCGCAGGTAAAAGCGCCGGATCCACATTGCTGCGGTCGACGAGACTGAGTTGCACGTGTAAACTGAGGCTCACGACCTCACGGTCATCGGGGTGATCAAAATACCAGGCAGCAGCGGTGGAATGCAAGCCACGGGCGCTGCTGCGGGGTCGCAGGCGGGAGCGCAGCGGGCGGCGGGCGCCAGCACTGAGGCCGGCCGCCGAATACAGCTGCAGGCGCAAGCGACGATCAAAGTACTCGGGGCTTCCGTAGCGTAGGCGCAGGTAGCCAAAATAGTGATGGCGATCGTTGGTATGGCGGTGGCGAGCCGAGACCAGGCTCGTCTCAAAGGCTGGGCGGGACCCGCTGCTGGGGTGCGTAGCCGGGTCATGGGGAGTGGTCTGGGAGTTGAGGTCGTCGGTGGCTTCACAAACGTCAAACAAGAGCACAAGATCACTGCCTCGGGTTGGTTGGTGAGTCAAGCTGTGCCGGCGCCCCGACGTGGGGCTCGTGGCCCGCTGGGGGGAACCAGGCGGCTGGAGCGTTGGCTCGTACGGGAGGTACAGGGTGTCGTTGTAGCGCAGCTGCACGCGACGTGTGCGCTGGGGCCGCGCAACGCGCGTCAGCCAGACATGGGTGCCATCCTCTTCGGCAAGGTTGTTGGCGTCCCTGTTGGCTTCGGGCGGGGCGGTTGGTGGTTCGATGAGGTGCTCTCCTGTGCGCTCGTCGACCAGGTAGATGGCGACGCGCGGTCGGGCCATCTGACTCGGGGGCACAAACGAGTCCGTCTGTAAGACTTGCACTTGAAGCATCGAGGCCGAGGGTTGAGGCAAGAGCTGGTGGGCAGAAGCCGAGGGATGGGGGCTCTGCGGCGCCGACTGGGGATCATCATGATCAAGAGGTGGTTCGGGCTGTGTCGAAGAGGGGGCGGGTGCCTCTGGGACAGGCTGGCGATCCAGCTCTTGCAGCCGTCGCTTTTGTCGCTCCCGGCGAGCCTTGCGCCGTTCGTTCAAATTGGCCCCCGCCTCGTCATCCCGCGTGTCCGCCATGACCCTAAACCAGGCCCACAGCGCTTGCCATACGCCGACCAGCCGTCCTCCTCCTCCTCCCCCGTGATGTCAAGCTGCACGGAATGCCGCGCCGTCTCTCACACACACACACACACAAATGAAATTTGAGCGAAAATTTCAGAACGAAATGAGTGACAATAACCTCTTTTACTTAAGACCGCGAAAGCAGTGATCGTGTCTTAAATTAGCCTCGTAAACGACAACTTTAGTGAATGTTAGACAGCTAACCTCCCTTAGGGAAATTGCACGTCATGATTGTTATGGTCGAGAATCGATTCGTGCACTCTCCTCCTCCTCCTCCGATGGTATTCAGGAGCTACTCGAGGCTTCGGCCGACATGTATTCGGCAAGAGTGGGCACAGGCATGACACGGTCAAAATAATTATGGACTGGGTTGGTGTGCTCATCACAGAGCAGCATGTTGCTGAGCACTGGCCGCTGTTGCACACGCATATACTGAGGTTGGTGCAACCCCTCAAAACGCGACTCAACACCATGGTCGTTTGCCCCAATTGCCCGTTCACAGGCAATGCGGGCACGACCAAGCATCCGCGAAGCCGCATCGTCGTCGTGGGCCGTGCCACGTTGCCTTGGCTTGGTAAGTAGCCGTGACTCCTCGTAGGCCTGGTCGTCCAACAACTTGCAGTTCTCTCCAACTGGGATCATCGACTCCAACCGAGCAAGCAGTCCTGAACGGGATAGCATGCCTGCGTCATGGCACGATCCTAGACGCCGACTCGTGTGCAAGAACGGCGTGCAGATGAGCGCGAGATGGCGAGAGGTTGTGTAAAGGGTGAAGAATTTGACCAGGTTGGAAGTATTCAAAACCAACAAGGCTCCTGACCTTCAAACGGCCCATAGAAGGATGTGATGAGACCATTGGGTGTAACAATGGCCTGGTATCGTAGCTCATGTCGCTATTGGGCCACGAAAAAAGATGAGCAGCATCAACAAGCAGCACACGCAACCCTTGCATGCCACAAACAGCACGCGTCTTACGCTGTCTATGCTTGAATACAGGGACTGCTGGACGTCAGTATCACCACTCGCGCGAGCAATGGACTGGCCTGTGCGATGGATCACGGCAAAAATCCCTTCCAGGTCTGAGAACTTTCGGGCCACGGCAATTTTGGCCAATTGTCGCCAGGATCGAGTAAAGTACCGCTTGTCAAACAAGATACGGCTGTGAAAGGTCTGGACGAGTTCCTTCGAGAAGCTTCGCACGACAATGGATATCTTGGAAGCCGACCATGACACACGCAGTCTTTGCAGACCCTCTACGCTTTGGCGTCCTGGGCGATGAAACACAGCAAAAAAGGCGAGCAGGGCTTCGCGCGTGGGCACAATAAAATGGCCGTCCTCGAAAGGCAATACCGCTGCCAACCGGTCGAGCTGGTCGAGGCCCGTCAGACCAAAGTTGTCTTGCCATTCACTGGTCGAGAATGAATCAAACGGCACATGCGGCTGCCCGTTCAACACCACTCGGCAGGGCGGTTGGAGTACCACCAGGCTCAAAAGGCGTCGAGCCACCTCTTGCTGGACCCATAGATGCCTCAACATCGCCGCACAGACAGGCCAAGGCACCCCTCGCCGCGCGTCAGCCTCGACCCGCCGCCTGCCGACCGCCATTATGAAGGCCCTGCACTCGAGCGCGTACCGATCGGTCTGGGCGAAAGCTGCCCTTCGCTGACTGGCAGTGAAGCGCTTGTCCTTCTTGAGCTGCTCGCGCAGCACAACCTTGCCATGAGGTCGCACCATGATGCCGTTTTCCAATTCAACCGACCGCGCATGCCTTTTCAAATGCCAGACGACGCCGGAGCCCATCAAGAACCATCAAGAACGCGTCATCGTAAGAAAGCAGTGATGATGCCTGTACATTCTAAGTGAGCAGGTCCAACAAGTCCGAGTTCTTCACATGTCAGTCCTTCAGTTTGCCTTTTAACGTGTGATTGCCAAACGATTTTACTTGCATGCATCAACCCCCATTGGAAATTATGTTGTTGTTGATGATGAGCAAAGGAACAGTGAGTGTATTGTGTGTGTGTGTCTTACATGTGGTAGTTATGCTACTTCTCTTGTGCCTTTGCTGTTTATTCTTTTCCTCTTTCTCTGCAATTCTCTCTCTCTCTCTCTTTGTTATTACATGTGGTAGAGGTGTCATTTCGCTATCTATGCCTTTCTCTTTCTCTCTCTTTCTTTCTCTCTCTCTCTTTCTCTCTCTTTCTTTCTTTCGGGTCTAAAGTTGTCGCATTTCTTCAGTCAGGTATGTTGGGTGGCGCGGTATGTGTGTGTGTGTGTGTGTGTGTGTGTGAGGCGTCGTCTCATCAGATGGCAGTGGGGCGGCGCGGAGGGAGGGGGAACTCGAGAGGCAGTGAGGGCAGGCGGGACGGAGGAGGGGAGACGATGGGTGGGAGATGATGGGGCAGTGATGGGAGGCTGGGAGCTTGGTTGGGAGTTGTGTACTCGGAGATGGTGATGCGTTTCACTGACTCCGGATGATTGCCAACTGGATACCCGGCGTTGGGTGGGGGGCTGTGACTCGACGACATTGGGTCAGGGTGGCGTGTGACCTGCTTTGTGAGCACATGGAAGAGTCTCACTGATTCTGCCTGTGTGTGATGGGTGTGTAGATTTGACGTTGCAAACTGCACCATGACTTCAGAAACCAAGGACAAGTCTGGCTTTTCGGTACGAACACTGGGGTTGGTCACTGGGTTTCGGCGGGACCACGGCTCGCTGATAGCACCATCCATGTCCCTGTCCTTGTGCTCTTCTAGGTTGCCCTACTGTGGCTATATGTCTTCAATGGCATCTACTTGGTGTGCAGCTTGCATGTGCTCGCTTGTCTGGCAGCCCTCGAGTCCAACTCACCTGCGTTTGCTCCCCCTTCACTCCCACCCCGTGTTCGATTCAAGGTCTTGGGCTTGACGCTCATCGGTGTGGCTGCAGCTGCACAGGCCGAAGCCGTGTTGACCGATTTGACGATTTTAGGTCCGTGATACCTGACCCCTTGATTCTCTGCTCGGTCACGCTCGTTTCTCGCCTGGCTGCTCACCCACCGCGTCGTCTGAGTGTAGGGGGCGTGATTGCCATGGGCGTGTTTCTGGTCATGGTCTCCATCTTTGGCATCGTTGGCACAGCACGTCGTAGTCCATTCCTGCTCTTCCTGGTGCGCCATGACTTGTCTCTGTTGTCGGGCGTCGTGAAAGCCCTCCATGATCGACTTTGGCCCAAGTTGACCCTGCTCACCATGCGGATCTGATGTTTTTTTTGACCTCCCTTGGGTTGGTAGTATATTCTCTTCATGGTGCTGCTATTTGTGATGCAGTTCAGTATCGGCGTCGCTGCGCTGTCGGTGTCCCAGACGCAACAGAAGCAGCTCCTCTCGGAGGGCTGGTGCAAGCTCAGTGACGAACGGCAGATCTGGTTTCAAAACTCGACCAACTGTTATGGCTTTGAAGTGAGGGCCACGGCTTGAAGCGCAGCAACGCAGATAAACAATGGCGACGTGGCACGCACTGCGTATTGCTGACGTGACTTTGCGACGTGCTATTGCAGAATGCTTCAAAGTATGAGCCAAACGATTGCATGGCCCCTCCACCCCAAAACGCGTCCAATCCGAAATGCCCAACACGTTGTGCTGCACCGGTGCGTATCGTCAGAACCGTCGCTTGCTACTTGTCCAGACGCCACAGATGCTGCGCCAAACGCCAAGTGTATCGTCTCTGCTGGGATGCCATCATATAGGAGTGCGGCGTTGAGCCCACGGACACTTTGCCGCGATGTGAAACCTGCTATGATGCTGTCAAAGGTGTGTGTGTGTGTGTGTGTGTGTGTGTGTGGAAGAATGGGGGGGCACATGGCTTCCTTCTTCATTGTGCAGGACATCTACTCATGTCGAACATGGCCTCAGGTCTGACGGATCGGTTGCTGCGACGAGGCGGTGGCATATGCTTGGCGTTTGCTTTTCTGGAGGTGTGTTTGGAAAAAATCGTCTCCAGCGCCTTCGCGTGTAGTGCTCCTGCTCATACGCGCACGTTGCCTGGGATTGCTAGCTTCTGGGCGTCGTTGCCGCCATTCGTTATCGCCGCGACGCTCGGGCCCCAGCGACCTACAATGCTTTCATGTAGTGTGTATGTTGCTTCCAAAAACTTTGAGGCCGTGCCTCTGCGCTCTGCGCGCCTTCATTACCGTCCCCCCCACCCCCTGTCCACTTTGGTCTCCTCTCTTTTCCAACTCAATCGAGACGTGCAGACGAGTTCAAAACCAAAAGACCCATAAAGCCAGTAGTAAGCCAGAAAGCCAATCAGCCAGGAGGCCAGTAAGCCCATCTCAAGCTCGGATCGAGCCGATAAGAAGCCAATAAGCCAATAAGCCAACAAGCCAATAAGCTACTAAGCCAATAAGCCAATAAGCCAATAAGCCAATAAGCCAACAAGCCAATAAGCCAATAAGCCAATAAGCCAACAAGCCAGCCAATAAGCCAATAAGCCAAGGACTCTCAAAAGGAAAAAAAGGAAGCTGACACTTTAAAATTTTTAATCACGATCTTTCTCTTTCGAGAATTTCTCGTCTGTGTGTGTGTGTGTGTGTGTGGCAGTTTGAGCTCGACTGCGCTTTCCTCCAGGGTGCGCAGCCGTCTTGTCTTGTCTGGCCTTGTCTTGTCTGGTCTTGATGGGTGGCTCGTGTGTGTTTGATCGGGCTTTTTGATCGCGAGTGCCGCTGGAGGTGCTAGAGAGTTTTCTTGTTGCATTTTACTCGTCTGGTTTGGCACAAAAAGTGTGAAGCATGGCGCTGGCGACGGAGACAGCCAAGGATGTGGCCGCGCTGACAGAGAAAATGCGTCGCCTCGAGGCCGAGGCCGACGAACTGCATCGGGAGGCACAGCGACTCAATAAGCTACAGCAGTTTGCCGCCTCCAAGACCGCCTACAAGCAATTCCGCGCCCGCGACGATGATGCCATCGCTCTGGCGCTCGAGATTGCAAACTTGGCAGCTCAGACGCGAGGCACGGGCAAGGATCAGGAGGACGCTCTCTTGGCTGCCCGTGGTTTTTGCGCTCGACCTCAGCCTTACGCGTCCCTCCCCAATGTCACGGAAGAGGAACAAGCCTCACTACGACAGCGGTTGCTCGGCGCCGTGCTGGGGGCGGTGGTTGGAGATGCCGCGGCCACGGGGGTGCAATGGGTATATGACCCAGATGAACTGGCCGGATACGAGGCACGGGTTCAGGCGCAAGGCGGTGTGGGATTGGAGTATTTGGATCCACCTGCCAACGCGCACTTTGAATATGAGGTGCGTTTGTGAAAGGCTGGTGGTGACACCACGACAAGGTGCTCAAACCTCATGCTGCCCCGTGCCGCTCGCTGTTGCCATGGCTATAGGTGGGGCGCAATTCACCGTATGGCGAGCAGGCCCTGCTTTTACTCAAGGCCCTGGCTGGCGATGAAGGGCTGGACACGTGGAGCTATGCGCAACGCTTTGCGGACCACTTTGGCGGAGACTGGCATGTGCGTACGGGAGGCTACCGCGATGCCTCTTGCAAGGGATTCCTTCGCAACTATGCCCTCGGGCTGCGGCCACCAGAGTCTGGCGCCAAGGACAAGCAGATCAACTGCTGTGCGCGCCTGGCACCGTTGCTGCTGGCATTTGCTGGCCACCCTGACCTGGACCAAATTGTGGAGGCATGCACCCGGGTGACGCAGAACCACGACGAAGCCGTGGCCTGGGCGCGCCTGAGCGCCCGTGTCTTGGAGGGTGTCGTCCGAGGTGCAGATGTAGACCAGGCCGTCAAAGAGGCGCTGTTAGATGCCCAGCGCTTGGATGCTGAACTGGATGATCCTGCTTCTGAGGAACTGTATCTGGTGGCTGGTCACCTCTACCAAGTGCGGACATTGAGCTTCTCGAGTGAGATTCCTGACGCCGTGGAGCGGCTTGGTAAAAACTGTCACACTCCAAACTCGTACCAGACCCCGGTGCACGCGGTCTTGTCCGTATTACGCCGGCGCGCAGACTGCCTATCACCGACGACAGAGTCGCTCGCGCCCGAGCGTGCACAGGCCCTGTTTGCTGAATGCATGCGCGGGGCCATGCGAGAAGGTGGCTGTTGTGCGTCCCGTTGTGGTGTGGCCGGTGCTCTTTTGGGCGCCTATCTCGCCGGGCGATGCGGTTCTTTTGAGGAGTTCTTGCCCCCGAGCTGGCGCGCGCGCACTCTTGCCTATGCAGCAGCCCGACGCTGGGCCCTACAAATCGACGCTTTGCGTCACACTGCTCCGCGCTGATCCGATGCACCAAATCATGTACCAAACCTTTGCTGGTACGCTTGTTGTTTGACCTGTTCCCTGGGCTCGAGGTATGCCGTGAAGGCGAAGCAGGTGAGTGCCCTAAGCAAGCACGAACCCGCACCCATGCCATCATATTTTAATTTGTATTTTACCTCTTCAAAATCAACTGTCATTGTCATCTAAAGTGTAGCCAAAATTACAGTATCGCTTGACTGTTGGCAACGAAAGAGAGAGAGAGAGAGAGAAATTTGAAAAAATTGGTGAACGGTGTATGACGGCGGGGCGGGGCGGGGAACAGCGATTGCACGGTGCGGAAGAGGAGATGGATTCCTTTGAGGCGGCCTTGGCTGCGGCGCAGGCGCTTTTAGAGTCAGGTCACAAGGCACCAGCAGCTGCATATCCCGCACAGCCGGAGCCTCTCTTGAGAACGCGGCCAGGTGCAAGTCGGCGTGAGACGGAAGATGCGTCGACTTTGGCTGCAGCATCGCCGCTGCCCGCGATATCAGACCAGGAGAGCCGGATTGCGGGGCTGGATGTGGCTCGCCCGGCTTTGGACGTGAGACTGGCCAAGCAACTGGATCTGGAGAACCTACCCTCGGCGACCCGCGCCGCCTTGGTACAACAGCTTCGGCCTCTGCAGGATCTTGGCCTGCTGCGGCTCCCACCACGCCAGGAGACAACCGATACATTGTCAGAGGTCAGCGAGACCGACAAAAGCCTGCCCGTCGCCTGGCGCACCACCGCGTGGGCCAAGTCCCCGCGCCCTGTGTCCCCAATTGCCGCCACTACTCGTCTGAACCGCAGCGTGCGTGCCTCACGGCGCGTGGCGGGGGCACACGTTCGGCTTCCGCAGCTCTCCCCCGTGAGGTATGATTGTCGTTGTCTTGTGGGAGTTCTAGCGCACCGAATGGATGATCTTCACGGTTGACGCTTGCGTTCATCACGTCGGATCGTTGTCTTGCACGTCTGATAGCGCCGAAACGCCAGTTGCACGACAACAACGACAATTTTCCCACGACGTCGCCGAGCTCGAGGCACGCGTCGGCCATGGGGACAGCTCGTTGGTCCATCGTGCCACCATGGCGCTCCGCGTCCTCTCAGACCTTGCAGAACAGGCCGGTAGTGAAGCTCTATCGGGCGTGGTTCATGAAGCTCGTGCGCTGCTTGACGCTCGTGATGCGCCCGACATGGCCGGCACCGTGGCTACCTTGCCCACCCTGGACGGTGCCATCGGCGAAGCACAACGTGTACGTTGCTGTGCCACCAGAACCTGTTTTTGGCCGTTGACATTGCTCAGCTTTGAATGCACTGAAGGTGGCATTTTGTGTTTGTTCGTCGTGTAGATGCAATACGAAATTTCGCGACTCAATGCCGACATTGAGCTGCAGATGGGCGATCTTCAGGCGCTGCAGACTGACATTCAACAGTGCGTATCGATCAAACTGTGCACTTTTTAGCGTCGGTCGTGTTGGCTATCCAGTTTTGTACCAGCTACAGAATCTGATTGTGTTGGACATCTTAGGGAAAGCGAGCGAATGCTGGCTCTCCGAGCCGCATGCGACAAGCAAACCGAGCTCATTGATCACGTCCGTCGCCGCTCTCAAAGCAACGGTACGTTATGGAAGACTGAATGGTGAAAGACTGAGCTGGCTTACTGGCATCAACGCTGCTGTGTGTGTACATTGGAACTGGGATAGGTCACGTCAAGCTGGACTTGATGCCTGCCGTAGCTCGTCAGCACGATCGTCTGATGCAGGTGGGGGAATTTGTTTTTATTCTTCTTTTTTTTGGATTGGGTTGTTGAAGTTGTTGAATTTTCCTTGGTATCGGTGGTTATCTCGCTCACCACAGACCGCTGCTCCTGGTTGGACGTTAGTACGCCCGTGAGCGTCGGCTCAATCAACGACGGCACGAGCTGCAACGGCAGCATTGCGTCCCCTTGAGCGTGTATCAATGGCTGGAAGACTGCTTGTCAGACGAGACCATGGCACTGCAACAAGCAGAGAAGGAGATTGAGCTCTTGCGAATCGAAGTCTCGCAGTTGCAGGCCCGCCACAAGCGGCACCACCGACATTTTGTCAACCTGCCCACGGTGGTGGCCGAGGACCATTCGACGGGCGAAGATGGCACGGACACCCGGCAAATCTCGCGGTCCCACTCTCCCACCACTACCGCCAACAGCCGACCCCAATCCTCCGGCAGCCACGCAACCATGGGCTCCAACTTGCCCCCCCTCTCCCCCGGTACCACCACCACCACCGCCGCCGCCGCTACCAGCAACCAGATCAACCCAGCCCACCTCCTCCGCCCCTAACGGATGGCGCCAAGCACCCAGTTGTCAGACAAAATAAAAACCCCGCTCACCATTGTCAGACAATTCAACATGTTGCAACTTCTTTCATCGTGACACGTGTGGGAGCGGCTTCATGGTGAGTTTAAGTGTAACGTTTGTTACAATTATAGCGTATAAAAGTGTGACTTTGGGGTCATTTTACGACTTGATCGACGGTGAGTGCAGAGACAGCGAAGGTGCGAGTGCTTCAGTGAGAGAGACGACCAAAGCCGCTTCAGTGCCATCAGCTTGATAAGGTGAAACAGAAGGGCAGTCAGAGAGTGACGCCAAGGCTGTGCACCCCCAGAGAAGGGCAGCCAAGGATGTGTCAGCAATGGCAGCCAAGGCTGGCGACGCCAGTGCGGCGGTGCGCCGGGCGCTTGCGTTTGCTCAGTGGTGCTTGTGCGTTCTTGTTGGCTCAACGTGCTGTGCGTCGAGCCGGGGCAGGGTTGCATTCATCTTACGGCGCCTCGGGTCAATGCACTGGCATTGCATTTTCTGCTTCTGCTGCTCCTGCTGCTGCTTCTTCTTCTGGTACAGCTAGCTCACTCGCTTCTCTCCCCGCGCGTGCGTGTGTGTGTCTGTGTGCGTTTGGCCCTCGTTGCGCTTTTGGGCTGTTTTGAACCGCGGCGTAGAACGACTTGCTTCTGCTTCTTCGTCTTCTTCTTCTTCGAGCATTACATCATTCACCATGGCAGCAATGCGACGTGTGGGACGAATGGCCGCCGCGCCTCAATTGGCCAGCCTCTTGCGCTCTCCGGCAACGACGACCGTGCGGGCTTGGCCCACTCTGGCTGGTTCCCGGGCGCAGCCGGCAACAGCGGCCCGCACCTTCATGAACTTTTTTAGTACCAGCAACAAGAAGCCACAGGACAACAAGGCTGAGCCTGCAGCCGCCGCCGAGGCGGAAGCCCAAGCCACCGAGCAACAGACGACCGAGGACGCAGCCGCCACCATGAACCCGGCCGAGATTGAGCAGCTCAAGACCGAGCTGGAAGCTGCCAAGGCTGCCGAAGCCGACCTCAAGGTACAAAGCCAACCCCGTATCGCCCAACATGGGCGGGGCTGACGCTCCCAGCACGCTGCTGCTAGCCGTTTTTCTGCATGTGTTGCCCAAGAGTTGATACGCGAATTCAACACTCTACTGCTTTCATCTCGTTCACAGGACAAGTATCTGCGGGCATTGGCCGATATGGAGAACTTGCGCCATCGCAGCAAGCGTGAGGTTCAGGACGCCAGCGACTATGCCATGCAGAAGTTTGCCAAGGACCTTCTCGAGTTTGCCGACAACCTCGAGGTATGCCTTGGCCTCTTTTCCGTGCAGCACCATAGCTCCTCGACTCGTTCGACCCCTGACCTATCAGTTCTGTCCTGCCCGTAGCGCGCGCTCGCGTATGTGCCTGAAGAGGCTCGCACCGCCGAGGGCAACACAGATTTGAAGAACCTGTATGAGGGCGTTGAGGGAACTCAGCGCCAGCTCCAACACGTGTTTGCCCGTTATGAGCTGCTGCCGGTGAACCCTCTGGGCGAGAAGTTTGACCCCGAACTGGTGAGTGTCGGGTGTTGCCTGTTGCCTGTGCTGCTTCCTCTCCCCACGTCAACCATTGGCAATCTGACCCGATTGTTGCCATGTCTTCGCTAGCACGAGGCCCTCTTCCAGGTTCCCGACCCCAACCAGGCCCCGGGCACTGTGGCTCAGGTCATGCACACTGGCTACACCCTCAAGGGTCGCCTGCTTCGCGCAGCTGGTGTTGGTGTGGTCGTCAAGGCCTAAGTTCCTTCTCCATCTTGTTTCGTCGGGATTTGGACGCACGGCTGTCTTACAACCTTGCCGCTCCCCTTTTTTTCTCTTTTTTCCCGCTTCTACTCGACTGTTGTTTTGCAATGAGTGCTTTTTCGGCTGCTGAGCTGGCCCCCTTCTCCTTTCCCTTACTTTTTTTTTTTTTTTTCCTTTCACTTTCTCGAGTGAGTTGTCCAATCCTGCTTCGAGGGCTTCTTGCATGATGAATAATAGCATGTGGTCATCGACAAGCACGACAATTGACATTGAAAATCAACTTCCCTGCTGATCATGTGGGCGTCAAAGTCAAGTTGGCAGCGCTGAGTGGAGGGGTGTTTCTGCTGCAGGAAGTCGAGGAGTTGCGAGTAGGAGCAGCGCACACGGGGGTGTCGTTGGCGAGCGTCTGTTGCTTCAAATTCAATTGTAAAGCATGCAGGCAAGGGCCCGCAGGAAAACTTCCACAAGACAGTTGTAATACACCAAAAGCCGTGACAGTACGCTCACGGAAAGTTGATGGCCCAAAGCGCTCATCATCCAAATTCAATCGCAGAGCAATGGCAAGAACCTATGTGCCTATAAAAATCGTTTGTTTATCCATAAACCCAGAGCCACTGGCGCGGCAGAGCGACTCTGGCGCGGCGTTTATTGATCAAGTCGCCTCGCGACAAAGAGGGGGGGGGGGCGGCACATTGTTTGCAGATTACATGAACCATGGATCGGCAATGGCCACACCCTGAGAGTCACAGCATGCGGCACGAAGCGCAGCGTCGGCGGAAGTGCCACGCAGCAGGGTTTCACGGGGATCCGCGCAACACTGCGCCGAGGCGGGGCAGACAAAGTTGACATCAAGCAAGCGACACAAGATTTCATCGGTAGCCAGACCGCGCAGCGTGGGGCTAGCGGGAACAGCAGCCAGATCAGCCATGGGGGCACGCAAGGCCAAGAGAGTATTGGACACGTTGTTTCGGGAAAGACAGGTCATGGAGGTCAGATCACATTCGCGGTCGCCGGGACAGCAATGGCCTTCAACGTCGCCACAGCACGTGGCATTGGGCAAGGGGCAGCAAGCCTGCGCGCCGTACTCGAGTTTACAGCAGGTCGTATTCATGGGGCATGCAGTTCCCTCTGCCGAACAAGCTTGTGTGCGCTCCTGGGGCAGCAGAGTCCAAGCGGCAGCGGCCGGCGCGGGGCCCGCACCGACCAAGGTCCAGGGCAAAGCCTCATCAAGAGTGGCCCGGGTACAGCCACCAGCGGTAGCATTGCAAACCGTACCCTGAGGGCAGCAATGCATCTGGTCTGCGCAGCAGTTGGCATCTTGAAGCGGGCAGCAGCCGTAGCCGCCATTGGGGGCCGAGCAGCAGGTGGTGGATTCAGCGCACTGCGACTTGTCTGGGCAAACCACGTTGGCGAGGGAGGTCATGATGTTCGAGGCTGGGCTGCGCACACCAGTCAGGGTGTTGACGCAGGTGCCATCGGGAGCACACTCGTTGCCCTCGGGACAGCAATGGTTGTTGTCACAGCATTGGGCGTCGAAGAAAGGGCAGCAGCCATAGGAGCCATCGGTGGTCAGGCAGCAAGTGTGTTCGGGGCTGCACTCGGAGCGGTGATCTGGGCAGATATCTCCAAGGCTTGATGCATTGCCCGTACGCGCACGCGCAGGCACCGGGGATTTGGCGCTGGCAAGGGAAGTCCAGGCGGGCATGGCGAAGACCGTGGCCAGGGATGAGATGCATTGTCCGTTGGAAGGGTTGCATGTGTGATTGGCAGGGCAGCAGTGCGCGCCGTCCTTGCAGCACACGCCATCGAGGTATGGGCAGCAGCCATAGCCGTCGGAAGACAGCTTGCAGCAGGTGTTGTTGGTGGGACACTTGGCCACACCACCGCCGCAAGTCACGTCCTATAAGATTGGATGCATGCAGCCAGAGCCGTGGAGTAACAGAAAGGATGGGTTAGAAGTAAAGTGCGGGGCGGCAGAAAAAGGCAGAGGGTGCTGAAGGATGGCACGATAGAGCAAAGAGAGAGGCTTGCGTACGCTGAGTTGAGGGAAGGCTTCAGGGGCGAGGTGCGTCAGAATTGCGGCGCCCTCGACACGACAGCTGGAGCTGGCCAGCAAGAGCGTCAGCAAAGCGGCCACACCGACCACGTCGGTAGCTCGTACAGACCCCATCCTTGGGTGTACACGCACGCGCAGTGAGACGAATGGAAACGAGTCAAGAACGACGGCAAGAGCAGCGACCGAGGGTCCAGCCGTTGAGCGTCCAAGCACGTTCCTGCCAATCGTACAAGAGTGAGTTGGACGCACGTCATAACATTGCGACAGCGTTCAGGGCCTCGACCCGTCCTCCCGCCAGGAGACACGTAAAATCCATGACCCATGGCTATAGCATCCCACACAGCGCAAAACTCACGGGTATCAGAGACAAACAGGGCAAACCAGGCCAAGCGCGCGTCCTGCCGCTGCCAAAAAAAAAAAAAAAAAAAAGGGTTTGAAGCGTCTTTTTTTTTTTTTTTTTTGGAGCTTTTTTCTTGCTTGACAGAAGGTGTTAGCAAGGTGAACGAAAAAATGAGAGAGAGAGAGAGAAGAGAGAGAGAAGAGAGAGAGAGAGAGAGAGAGAGAGAGAGAAAAGAGAGAGAAAAGAGAGAGAGAGGGAACAAAAGAAATGTAAGAGAACAAAAGTGACAAAAGAAATGTGAAAGAACAAAAGAAACGTGCGCAAAAAGAGAGAAAAGACACACACGCACACAAAAGAAATAAAAACAAAAGAAAGAAACGAGAACGAAAAACACAAACAAAGAACAAAAGAAAGAACAAAAGAAAGAACAAAAGAAAGAACAAAAGAAAGAACAAAAGGAAAAAACCGACGGTTGTGTACATCCGATGTGACATGTGCAAAACACGAAAGTACGAAACGTCACAACATCCAATGCAAGCCGAAGCGAAGGACAGTGTCGCGAGGGGGCTTGAGTGCAGGGAGGATGGGGGGGAGGCGGTGGGCGTATGAATGTACATGATTGTGTCTGCATGTTCATGTGACCGTGTTGGAGGTGCTGGTATGCGTCTGTGAGGATCAAGTCTCATTTCAAGTCTGAATTGCAACCTTCCTTTAGATTTAAAACTTTCCTGCGGCGGCTACCAGCCCTGACGACGACGACGACGACACTGGTATTGATAATGATGATGATGATGGTGTTGATGTTGATCGGTGAAAGTTGCATAGTTTAGTCGTTGTGATCAGTCTTGTACCCAGTCCAGGGTCGATGCGGTGCCAAGTGATAGCGAGCCCCGTGGTACACAAACGTCACCACGCCCATGTAGGCAGTGCGCGGCACTCCATCCTGGAAAGACACGCGAATTCGGTGGCAGCCATGAGAACAACTCGCATTCGCATAGAGTAGAAAAACGAGATGGAGTAAGATCATCCTCCTTGAAAGATTGGCCATTTACCTTCCAGTCGCTCATGATGCCCAGCGTTCGTGCCAACGTCTCAAAGGACTTTGGTGATGCGTAATCGTACTCGATACGATATTCTTGCAATGTGTCGCCGCGTCGCTCGCGCGCGGCCGACGCCGATAGCTGCACAGCCAGACACGTTTCATCGTCATGAGAATCCACAAGTGCGCTTCGACAGACGAGAGGTGCGCGCCGTGGACCAAACGTACCAGCTCGGCGGTTTCGTACACGCGCGTGATGAACGCGGGATCATAAATTTCCTTGGTCAGCGGGCTTGGATCGTGTTGCGAGAACGGAACCGACACCTAGGGATATCACGCAGACCGTTGGCATCAGTATGGTCACGCGAGCTTGTCGTCTACATCCAATCACATCAGCCATGCAAAAATGTCGCACCTTTGAAGGTTTGATAAACTTGAGGTGCTGGTCGTAAAACTGACCCTGGGACACACCAATTCTGTTCACGACAACAGCTCGTGAGCATGTGGAGAGAGAAAAAAAGAAGAAAAAGAAAAAGAAAACAAAAAGATAACAGAGACGAGTCAACGACGCGGGAAAACAAGTGGAGCCCGTGTCCTACCGGCCAAATGTACCCGTGCGAGGCACTTCGGGACGAATGCAAGCCCGATTCTTGCGCTGAGCGTTGTCCCGAATCCAGTCGTCCCAGAACGACTTGGGCCACTTGTCCCTCAACTGCGAAAAATAAACATGTTGTGAAGGCGCCTTGACGCCAACCACGCTTTTCTGAGCAAACAGAATTTATCACGTCAATGCAGAACGCACCTCGTCCCACATGTTTTTGCGAAGCAACCAGCCCAGGCCGCCGAAAAAGTCGGAGCGAAAGAGTGCAGCCGGATCTTTAACGTAGTTTTCCTTCCCGTTGTCGTTCCAGGCTAGGGGTGTTTGCGTGAGCGCACTCGGAACGTGATCTGGACCAGAAGCCGAGATGAACATGCAGGCGAGCAAAGCACTCACCACTGATGCACCAGAGCGTGGGATCGCGCTGCAGCAGCGTGTTGCCTAGCGTCATGTATTCAAAGAAATCCTAAAGCCAGCAAGGCCGTGAGCATTTCGAGCCGACTGAGTTGCGGCTGACAGGAGCCTGTGCGGACCAATCAACAACGCACGGGCGCAATTTCCAAGTCGTCCTCGACAATGATGACGGCGTCGTAATGTTTGACATCAAACATCTGAGTCAGGGCCCACTTGTAATGCCTACGGCAGAACCGTATTTGAGAGGAGCGCCAAGCAGCTTGAAATGGGACGGCGGCGACCGCCTACCGGCTGATTTTGTAGTAGCCCACAAAGCTCTGGTGACCACGCTCGACCTTTGGCGTTCCCAGATCAGGTTGCTGCAGCAGCGAATAGAAGAGATGTTAGGCTGGGTGAGCTGTTGGCCACGCAAAGCGTGCGTGGGAGAGCAACGCCAACCTCGATGAGCTGGACGCCATGCTGGCCATAGCGCTGAATGGTGGCCTTTGTCTCCGCGTGTCCGCAGTCTTGGCTCACGACGATGGGAAATTTGGCAGCCGAGGGGCGGTAGGCCAACAACTTGTCCAATGCCTTACTATAGGTGTGGCATAACGGCTGTGTGAAACCACGGACAGCTGCCCAGTCCATGACATGGGAGGGAGAGCAGGCCTAAACGAAGAGGAGGCCTGAACAGAGAGAAGGCGTGAGCCGAACGGACCTGACGGTGGGCCGGTTGCAGGCCATGACCACGATGGCGGCAACAAAATCCGAATCGGAACCCTTGTCAGCAAGGGGCGAATCTGGTTTGGGCGGGGGAGCGGGCACTTTGGCTGGAAGTGGCCGTGCTGGTGGTGGGGCCGGGACCGGAGGATGCACGGGGGCTGGCCGCGGCGGAGCCTTGTGCAGAGCCTTGGCCTGTGCCTTGAGGCCGGCGACTAGACATTGTTGAGCGCGAGGTTTACGAGAGGGATGAGACGAGCGATGAGCGATGAAGTGGTTCAGATGAGACGCCGTTGATGGGCGGCTTGATGCCACAAGCCAGATGGCAAGTGATCGTACCTTGTGCCTTGTGCTCGGCGTGACGCTGTTCAATCTCCCTGAGCGCGGCCTGCGCCTCTTGAATCTGTTTTGCCAACGAAGCAGTGAGTGCGCCATGCGGCAGGGATGCATTCAGACAGAGCACGCACGTTTTCTTCGGCTTTGGCCATGGCAGCTTGAACATCTTGATCATAGGATGGAGGGTCTTGAAGCCGTTGAACCTGCTGTTGATGACGGGGACACCCTCGATGAGCTCGGCGAGGGGCGGGGGGGAGCTACGGCTGAGGCATGCCCAACATGGACAAACCTCGTCATCAAGATGCTTCCACTGCTCGTTGGCCGGGGCAGCCACGTGCTGCAAGTTTAATAGCAAAAGACCGACGACCATGACCATCAGCACCATCGTCACCACGCGTGATGCCGCGGTCCCAGCCCCGTTTGACGGAGCCAGCGCCCCGATCCGCCGCCCCATGGTTCCACATGAAATTTAAAAAAAAAAAAAAAATGAAAACGAGCCATGCGATAGTGCGATAATAGTTACACTTTTGGGTTTGAAGAAGAAGAGCAGAAAGTTTATTTAAGAGGTGCGTCTGTCCCTGTCCCTTTCTCTCTCTGTCTCTCTCTTTGCTGTCTGTCTCCTTTCTCTTTGCGTCTGTCTCTGTCTGTCTCTCACTGTGTCTCTCTCACTGTGTCTCTCTTTGCGTCTCTTCTCTCTCTCTCTCTGTCTGTCTCTGTCTGTCTGCTCTCTCTCTCTCTCTCTCTCTCTCTCTCTCTCTCTCTCTCTCTCTCTCTCTCTCTCTCTCTCTCCTTAAGTACCAGTTGTCATTCAAAATCGCAACGTCAGCCTTTGACGCACTTTCTGCACTTTACCACACCTTGCCCTCTATAGCTTCAAAGGGCTATTGGTATAGTGTGTGACGCTGAACGCCCTTTCCCTTTGTGGCCGTTAAATTAAAAGAAAAGAGAGAGAGAGAGAGAGAGGTACGTGACCGCCGTCCCCCGTCATCCCAAGTGGCCCTGACCGTGGTGGCCTCCGTCTCCGTCGCCCGTCTCCGTCTCCCGTCTCCCCGTCTCCGTCTCCCGTCTCCCTGTCTCCGTGTCCGTGGTGGTGGTTAGTGGCGGGTGGGGGGAGTTGGCGTTGATCTGCATTTGTTCGTGCCGGTTGGGGGGTTTTGTTGTTGGTGTTGTTGCGTTTGCTCGCGACCGAGACGCGCGCTGCTCTCTCGCTCTCTCGCTCTCACGCCATTCGCGCTCTCGCCGCTCGCTCGCGCACTCTCTCGTGTCGCTGCTGCTGCTGCTGCTGCTGCCGACTCGGTCTGGGCTGTACGCGTCTGCTTCCATCGCGGTTCATGCTGGCTAGG